ATATTCTTATAAAAATACCTTATAAAATGAAAATTTAGCTAGCAACTATGATTCTTTACTTCTTATTTATCTACCAAAAGGGGCTTAAAATCACCTTTAGAAAACATTCTTAAAAAACTACTTTTTAAATACAAAATTTCGTTAGCAACAATGCCTATTTACTTTTTATTTAAATTAAATGTTCAAAATTTTATCTTTTTGTAAATTTATGTAAGTAATATGAAATCTGATTTCGGATGCTTAATATTTATTGAAACCCCTTAATGCGGATCTGAAGTATTCAGCCCAGAGAAACATGGCACTTTATGTCAAAACGTTAATAAATCTTTACCGCTGAAAACAAATATGTTCATAACAGTACTTGTATTCTAAGTACATACATTTTTTCAATATACATCGTGGCATTTTGAACTTGAAATTGATTAACTAAAGCACTTTAAATTGCTAAAATACCAAAAAATAAATCAAAAAACAGCTGTCAATGGTGATTAAACTCAGGTGGAGGTGATCGATGAATGGAAAAATCGGAGCAATTCGGATGGCGTCGTGCAAACAATGATTTTCAATTGGTGGGTTACTTTGGGTTAAAACAGACAACATGCGCAGTGTGCAATGTTACATCTTCGGTCTCTTTAATCTAAGGTTTATACAAATAAAATCCAAAATTCGAATCAATATTTGTACTTAAGAATACACGTGTACTTGTGTCTCGCCCTGTACATGCTTAACCCATTACTTCCAGATTTCTCTATTTATTCAATATCGCTTGAAATTCTACGATGCAATTTCTGCTTTGAGTGCCTTTAGTTTTAACTAACGTTGGGAGTACTCAAAAGACAATTTGCATATTTATTGCACATTTTTGTAGTCGTGAATTTGCATAACGTTTTAAAAAAGAAAATTGCCATCGACGATGATATTAAACTACTCGAAGTTCGTAATTATTTTCTAAATTACCTTTAGAGGTGAAACATGTTTTTCTAAAAGGCGAAAAATGGAATTATTTCGGCCCTTTCTTTCGTGGCGAAAGATATCTATTACGGTTTAATTTAAAATAGAAAATGTCTTTGATGGAAAAAAGTTTGAATTTAAAATAACGTTGGAATGCTTAATTAATTTCGCAATCCACTATAGGTATTAATAACCCTAAAGAAATAATTAAAAAGAGACCATGATTACTAATAATGTTTTAAAAAGATGTGCCTATAATAGTTTGTGCAATAAAAGTCGATATGGACAATCCATTTGAGTTTCACAGTATATTTTTTCTATAACCCACTACGGTTTTGGTTTTAGTTTTAATAATCGTAATTAAATTAGTTTCATATAGTTTTATTAAAATTTAGGATTTATTTCTAAATGTATATGAAATATCGATTATACATAAGAATAACTCATTTTTAGGTATATTTAATCTAAATAGCTAAAACATATACTAACATTTTATTTATTTTTTATTTTATTATCGTGAAGAGTCTTAACCGGCAAACGTCATGCCTACATTACTTCTCCCGAGGATTTACCCATTTGGGTCTTGAGAGTGATATCGATAATATTAGTGAACGATTAATTATTATACCAAGGATTTACCGTTTCAGGCCTCGAGTATTAGGTTGATAATGTATTAAAAAACAAATATTTTACCTAAATATTAGGCCTTGGTTTTGTATCAATAATCGAATTTTTACAGGAATTAGCTTTATTTTTAAGCCCTCCCAGGCAGCACACATTAGTATAACTAACGTATTTTATACGTAATACTCGTTTAATTTTGGTATTGGTTGATTCCGTATACGTTTACAGTTTACGATTATTATACATACCGTGTTTTAAACGATATATTATAAGTTTTTTATATACATCCTATGGTATATAATTGTAAATTTTTCTACATTTAAATATAGTTAACAATATACGACTATTTTTAGTTTGCGATAAACTATTTATATACAGTGGGCCTTAATATACGTTTAGGTTTATTTAAATTAAATTCGTATAAATTTACATTATATTACAATATGTTTTCTTCGTTTATAATTCCCGTTTAAATTTCATCGGTTGATTTTTTGAACGTTTACCATCTACCATTTTTATACTTAACGTTTTTTAACAGATAAATTAAACGCTTTTGTTTGTCGATACTAGTTAATATACCTATATTATTCTACGTTTAAATATAAGTCACCTTAAACGCATAATACCAGTTTATTTAGTAGATAAAAGTAAATAATATGTATATATTTAGGTTTATTTAAATTAAAAGCTTATAGATATATTTTGATATGATATTTTATTTCAAAATTAGAAGTTATATATATTTTGGGTTTTTACATTTCTAAAAATTTTAATCAATGTTTCATGGGTAAGGTCGGTCCTGAAAATTGAAATGAAAAGAAAATCAGGACATCGAATTGTCATGAGAATTTGAGGGTTGTCAGAAAATTGTAAAAAGATTGTCAGATTAGAAATTTTGAAGGAAAAGGTAGTTGGAATTTGTATGAAAAGAAAAGGAATATTGATGTGATTGAAATGATGGGAAAATACTAGAAGTTGAAATAAAAAGATTTAAAAGTAAAAGGTAAAGAAATTTTTATTAAAAAAAAAAAATCAACGAAGTGAGAGCAGATTTGGAAGGAGGGTAGTTTGTAAAAACCATAAGTAGAGACAATAGAGAGGAGTAGGAGCAGGTAAATACAAACAGACAGGAAGAGACAGGTGGACACGGAGAACGGACAGAGACGATAGCACATAGACAGAGATTTTTAAGTGAAAGAAGAAAGAAGAAAGAACATATTATTTAATATAATTGTTAAATTATTATATTTTTTAAATATTTTAGTTTCAAAATTCAATATTGTGAACCCATGGAACATTGAAATTGGTTAGATTAAAGTGTAGGTAAGAATTTTCTGTGTGCTGAAATCCAAATTGCTATCCTTGTTTGTGTGAACCCACGGACCCTGGGATTTTAAAATTATATTGGGAGAATAAAGGGTGAGCTAATTTTTTTTATATTACAAATTGATTTTCATAACATTAATTTTTTTAAATTCTATAACAAATAAGATTTTTCATATCAATTTATTTACATTACAGCCATATTTTTTTAATTATATTACCTGTAATATTTATAACAAATTCTCCATACACATGGAACTATTTTTATATGGCGGATGACGTACTAGTGTTACGGTCTTTTCTCATTTCTACTCATGCGTATGTGTAGTATTATTGTTCAGTGTAGGGAATGTTTTGTGGGAACAGGTTCATCGGTTCGTCCATTTTCATTTGTGTACACGTTTCGTTGCATATTGCTTTGGCATCCTGTCTTTTACAATATTGATTAAAAGCATAGGTAAGTTTCTATTAATGTTTTAATTTAGCTACTCCTTTAATAATTGTTGCATTTTACAACTACTGTTTTATAGGTACGTACAGTGTGTTAAATGCTTATAGAAACTTAAAAACATAACCTTACTTTTGTTTCTTTTATTTTTATACGTATTTTTTTGGTTACCTAGTTATTCCAAGCATACTTATTTTCTTTATTTTTTTTGGTCAGTTGTTTTTTATTTAATAAAATGTCATCTGCGTCATCTACGTAGAAAAATAGCGCAAAGTATTCAATATGCTTTAAAGTCAAATCAATTTTTTTTTATTCCCAATGAAGATAACATTAATAAGGCTTCGGACATTAATATATCATCTGATTCTATTATTTATAATAATTTTCAAGAAAATAATACAAATTTAACTTCGGAGCTTTTAGAAAATATTTCACCTGAAATTGAGTTACATTTTCGTTATAGGAATGGGGGTGAACCGACTTAACCGACCGAACGATTAGGTGTGCCATGCAAGATTAGCTTAAGTTAGCTAAGGCCCGTCTAGGACACAACACATCCAAAGTGTTAAGCTAAGATTTTTATTTTTATATATATTTTTTGTTAGTCAAAGAAAAGTTTCGTTTAGTTTGTTAATTAGTATTTTAGTGTTTATTTTTTTGTATTTAGGTATTTATTTTGTAGTATTTTATTGTTTATTTTTTTTAATTAAATATTGTTCTGTACATATAACAAGTGATCAAAAATTTTTCTAAATATTTAGGACAATTACAACCAAAATAGAAACATGAGTAATGCCTATTTCTGGTGTATACACACCTGCTATGGATAAAATCCAAACTATAATTTAAGAAATATTAACATTTTTCCATAGCCTCTTTTAGAAATTTTGTTTTGATCACTTTATTTAATTTGTGTTTGAAATACATTTATAACAATATCAGGTAGGCACATTTTACACATTAATAAAAATCATACAAATATATCTAATATAGACGTATAGTAAAACAGGATAATTAAAGGTAGATAAAGTAGTAATGTTAGACGTATAAAAAATTAAAAAAATATACGGGGGCCATTTTCACGTATATATTGGGTAGCATATCAACAGTATTCATACGTATATTGCAGTTAATAAAAAAACGTATTTTATACCAAAGTGAATTCGTATATATATATATATATATATATATACTACAACTATAAATCTAATATAGACGTATAATAAAAACGTTTAATTATAGGTGGATAAATTCTTAGTAATCGACGTTTATAAGGCGGACATTTTCACGAATATATTTGGTAGTACATCAACCGTATTCATACGTATGGTAGTACTTAAAAAAATACGTAATTTATACCAAAGTGTGCTGCCTGGGCTGTAAGCACAATATCGGTAGAGTAGATAGCTTTAGTTGTAAACCGATTTTATCTGCTATACATTTATTAAAATAATATATTTATATAGATATTTCTTTTTTGTTTTTCTTTGTATCAGCTGGATCGATATTTAAGAATTTACGACGTTGCTGGATTAAAAAAAAATTCCCGCAAACTTGAAACTGTTTTAATAATTTTTCGTTTTATAACAAACACAAGTTAATTTTGTTTTGAAGTATATTTAAATAATATATATACGAACCTTTAAAATCTCAGGTTGTGATTCGGAATCTGGGAATTCTGGTTCGGAGAATTCTATATATAAGCGTTCAAAACTCAGGTTAAGCCCTTTGTTGTCATCAGAATCAGAGGAAGAGTTGCAACCTGAGCCGATTCAGAAAGTTAATACCCAGATTGAAGCTGCTTTGGGAGTTAATCCGACTATTGTCCCGGCCCAGAGTGTTCCCTTAGACGCAAAGTTAGTTTCACGATGGATTGCTTATCTTTCCAGTGGTCTGGCAAAGGATCAAAGAAACCAGCTCTTGGAGAAATGTATTGTACCTGATAATATCAAATGTCTTAGTCCGCCCAAAATAAACTCAGAAGTGAAACTATTGAGCTCAGCAGAAGACTTTAAAAGGAACTCTTGTATGGAACACATCCAAGTTTGTTTAGGGAAAGTAATAAGCGCCCTAGGAGCAGACCTTAACATTGTCATCAATCAGTCAACGCAAGATTTGAATGGATGTTTAGGTCCTATTGCAGATGCATCTAAGCTACTCAATCATACTCATTACTTAGTGTCACCTCATAGAAGACATGTATTGGAGCCAATGCTAAATTTGGAGATGAAGAAAACTGTCTGTGATGGAAAGGTAGATACCGAACTTTTTCTAGCGGATTTATCAGGGCCATGCAAGGCTATGCAGGCCTTGAAAAAGGCCAGTATGGACTTAAGAGCGCTTTCTTTAAACTGGAAGACACAGCCTCCAAGATGTTATGTTAAATTTTGTTTAAAAATATCCGATTTGTTGCTACATCTCCATTTAATTTAAAATTTAAAGGTGGATTTACCACATGTGTGTAATTTGACATGATCTTTTAAATCTTTGATGATCTGTTTCAGCTATTATCTTTTTGACTTTTTCTTTTTTTCTCCCATCCACTAATATTTTAGCTATGACTGCGCTATGTTAATTTATTTCTCTTAAATAACATAAAATATAATAAGGTTCTAGGAAGTTAGGTTCAGTCAACCATTAAACAAGACAGTTCGTTCTAGAGTGATCTTCTGTCGTTCTGTCATATGACTTGACGTGACACATGACTTACAAGTTACCAACATCTATCACACTTTCCAATCGCATTCAACATTCAATATCAACGTTACAGCTACTTGGATGCATTTACTGACTAATTGTTGGCTAGAAAAAAAAAACGCGTCTATTATAAGAACATTTGCTCGATAAGCTCAGCGTCTATATAACGTTCAACATTTTTCAATAGAGATTATCATTAGTTCATCCGGTATCTGTACCATTACTTTTTAAAAATAAAAAACCAGAAATGCACTGATACGTTACCCATTCAACTTTTATACCATTTTCATGTTGACTCCAGGCAACTAATTCCGGGGAATGGAAAAACCGAATTATTCCGGTTTTCCGGTTTAACCCACTAGAGGCAGCAAAACGAAAAATGTTTCTATTATATCGAACGCAACTTGTGTTTTCAATCTCTCTGTTAACATTCGTATGAAAGACCTTTTGGGAAAAAATGCAATTAAAAAAAAGCCTCTGCGTAGTGTGTTAATGCATTGTAATGGAGAATTCGCTTTTTTTGCTCGATCACTACCGAAATGGACTGGTTTTTACAAATAAAAGAGGATTGTCTGAAAAGTTTTGAGCCTCAACACTATAGGTTGTCAACACTTTTATGCCTAAATTTAAATTCATCTAATCTTATAGAATTTCTAATAGATATTTAGCAAAAACATGGCTCTTGCTCATTAATGATTGTACTTATCAGGGGCGGCTCGTGACCAAAATTTTGGGGGCTCACAGTAGCAGAATATAAATCCCAGTACAGATATAGGTAAAAAACTGTCAGTTTTTTAGAAAGGTATATTATAAAGTTTCTAAAACATCTGTACTGATACCTATATTCTATCACTTGAACCACCCCACGATCTGCCACTGGTACTTATCTAGCTCAGGCCGATCCAGATTTAAAAAAATTTTATTAAATGGTTTTTGTAATTATCAATATTGTTTAATAGCCATTTCCTATCTTAATACAAACACTTTGAAAATGGATTACATCGTAGTCAGATAAGAAATATAAATTATGAGCATTTTTTTTTTGTTCATTTTAAGACGTTTTATTATCATTGTTCTTCTTCTTCGTTCGTTTCTTCATTTAAATTTATTATTAACTTTTTTCCCAATATTAACAATGTACTTTTCTTCAAATGTAATAGCTTTTTTAATCTTCTTTTGCCAATCCACTGCCGAAATATTTGCCACCTTTTGTTCTATTAGTTTTTTTACCTTAACATCAAATTTGAATTTACGTTTTTTCGGCGTATTCTCTTTTTTAGTTGACCCGAAATCTGTTCCATAGGATTAAAACCACAAAAATATGAAGGTAACCCTAAAAATTTATATTATCATTTTTCTTTGGCATTTCTATGTTCTGATTACAATTTCTGTATGACATAGTGTCATATACCTTTAACATGCCTTTGCTTACACAAATAATGGTATTCGATCTAACGTTATTCCTTCTGGCCGTATATTAATTACAGTAGTAATAAAATTAATAGCCCCTAAGGTTGAAGAAATACCTGCTAAATGAAGACTAAAAATGGCTAAATCTACAGAGGAACCTCTATGGGCAATCTTCATGATATAGGTACATATAACATAGACACAACTATTTAGTTTCTTGGATTAATTTAGCCAAGTGCAATATTTATTTTTTATATCGTCTTTAAAAAAACGGTAATGTAAGTTTAACTTTGTATGCGATACCATCATTCAAGTTAAATCCTCACCGCTACATCAGTCTGACACTGTTTATTAGTACTTCTAGCATTTATAGATAAGACATATTTCTATAATCTAAAATTCATTAGGGGCAACCCACAAAATTGTACTAGGATCAAGAAATTATCCTTGTTCAAATAAAATATATAATAAAATTATTATACAATGACTTTTCTTAGCTGGAAACTATAATCTAAAATCTGTTTAAAGTTAGGTAGTTTATACCATTGCCATAAGAGCCCATTTCTTGATGGAACTCAGTCATCGCTTAATTTTGATGGTTTTCCTGTAAAAGAGTACCGATGACATTGTATCCATTTACACATTTTTTGCTTAAGAGTTGGGTATAAAACACATGACTATTTTGTAGAAACTGAAGCAAAACAAAATATAAACATAACCTTAAAAATAATAGTAAATATTTAACCTAGTGTTTGAAGATGTGTTTCGTTAATAATCATTGAATTGACACACATGCTGCCGATTTATTAAATTCGCAGTTTTATTTAAACACGGCTTTTAAATAAACACAATTAACAGTTTGAGTTTGACAGCTTGATAACAAACATCAAGATAACATAATGTAGAGAGGACATAAACACTATTTTGCGATATGATAATTGGACGCACTTTGAGTCGTATTTTGATTAATTTGACGTTAATAATCTTTATATTTTTATCATTTAAGTCATGCTTAAACAGCATGTTTAATAAAAGTTGGTATTTATTTCCAATAAAACTAACTAACTCCACTTGCTACAGTTTGACATATGACGTAAAACTGTGCGAACACTTTTAGTATGTTCATAGCATCTCTTATTTATTTTATATCAGTGATTGAAAATTTTGTATGCTCTGCCCTACTTTGTGACGTCATTGTGTGCGTTGCGCAAATTAAGCTGATTTCAGTGATTTTATGTTTGTTTCACTACGTTTCACGGATCTGTTAGCGTTTGACATCTCTTTTTAGCTAAATACTTGTAAGAACACTTCTTCGGGCTTACTTATGAAAGAGCGTCACGGAAATGCGATTAGCCAGAGCGCAGTGGCGTTCCCAAAAATAGATGACGTATGAAAACAATAAAATTATTAAAATTGAATTAATATTATGTGATTTATTTTAAATTCATGTATTTTTATGAAATGTGTTCACTGCACAAATAAACCAATGGAGAAACCGTCCCTGGTACCATGTCTCTTCCAAAAAATAAATTGTTTTATATTGGTTTTCATCTTTAATTTGTTCCAAGTAATCACTTCACCAATTTATTATTCTTTGCACGTCCATTATTACACACCGCTTGACATTTATTTTGTTTTTAATCCACGTGCTCAATGTTTTAGTACAAGTATTAAGTAAAGTATGGTCTCTTTGACTTTAAAATTGCCATTACGAAGTCTAACGTAGGAAATTCATTTTTCTGGTAAGCCTCGTAAATAATTGTCCTGACCCTTTACGCCATAGATGACTCCAGCTCTTTTTTGACCGACGTCTTTTCGTGTCTTCCCTTCTTTCGGACCTTCTTTTAAAATACGATAAATTGTTCTTTTGGCTACATTTTCTTGTAGCTTTTTAACATTTGGTTCGAAATAATTCAAAATGGCACAAAACTAACAATTAGGATTAGCACACTACAATAATAATTATCATTATTAAGAAATTTGTAAATTTTATTAATAGAGATATTCAATTCAAATCATGGTGGTAGGATATTGAAGGAGATTCTATGTTCATTTAAACATGTATTCTATAAATTTCATTGTTGGGCGGGGTTAAGTGGACGTAAGTGAAGCATTAATATGGCGGCCGAAGTAGGTCCAGACTGTTTTTTTTTATATAGAATGCTCAAGTATACACTAAAATGATTTTTTTCGATTCGAATCGAAAGTACATATAAACAATTAGTATTATTATTGGTATTATATTTAGACATAGTAAAAAAAAAAAAATATTGCACTTGGCTAAATTAATTCAAGAAACTAAATAGTGGTGTCTATTAAATGTACCTATATCATGAAGAACTAATTAAATATTTACCGATATCAGTACCTGGGAGGTAAACTGAACTATGTCGTACTATTTATAGAGGCATGTTGAAGGTATAGGACACTATGTCATAGAAAAATTGTTAAATTTTTGGGGTTACCTCCATATTTTTGCGGTTTTAATTTTATGGAACTGATTTGGGGCCAACTAAAAAAGAGAATACGCCGAAAAAACGTAAATTCAAATTTGATGTTAAGTTAAAAGAACTAATAGAACAAAAGGTGGCAAATTTTTTGGCAGTGGATTGGCAAAAGAAAATTAAGAAAGCTATTACATATGAAGAAAAGTACATTGTTAATATTGGGAAAAAGTTAATAATAAATTTAAATGAAGAAACGAATGAAGAAGACTAAAAAAGAAGAAGAAGAAGAAGAAAAAGAAGAAGAAGAAAAAAAGAAGAAGAATAAAAGAAGGAAACAATGATAATAAAGGGTCTTAACATGAACGAAAAAAATGATCATCATCTATATTTTCTATATGACTACGATGTAATCCACTTTCAAAGTGTTTTTATTAAAATATAAAATAGCTATTAAACAATATTGATAATTACAAAAACCATTTGATAAAAAATTTCTGTGTACGAGTCAGGTTTTTCCTTAATATCTATTAGAAATTCTATAAGATTGGATGAATTTAAATTTACGCATAAAAGAAAACTGGTAAGTGTTGGCAACCTATGGTGTTGAAACTTAAAAGTTTTTAAACAATCCTCTTTTATTTATAAAAACCAGTCAATTTCGATAGTGATCAAGCAAAAAAGGAGAGTTCTCTATTACAATGCATTAACACACTACGCAGAGGCTTTTTTTAATTGCATTTTTTTCCAAAAGGTCTTTCATACGAATGTTAACAGAGAGATTGAAAACACAAGTTGCGTTCGATATAATAGAAACATTTTTCGTTTTGCTGCCTCTAGTGGGTTAAACCGGAAAACCAGAATAATTCGGATTTTCCATTCCCCGGAATTAGTTGCATAGAGTCAACATGAAAATGGTATTAAAGTTGAATGGGTAACGTATCAGTGCATTTCTGGTTTTTTATTTTTAAAAAGTAATGGTAGAGATACGGGATGAACTAACGGTAATCTCTATTGAAAAATGTTGAACGTTATATAGACGCTGAGCTTATCGAGCAAATGTTCTTAAAATAGAATCGTTTTTTTCTTCTTTCTGTTGCCAACAAGTAGCCAGCAGCAATTGTAAATTAGACAGTAGATGCATCCAAGTAACGTTGATATTGAATGTTGAATGCGATTAGAAAGTGTGATAGATGTTGGTAACTTGTAAGTCATGTGTCACGTCAAGTCGTATGACAGAACGAATAAAGATCACTCTAGAACGAACTGTTTTGTTTAATGGTTGACTGAACCTAAGCTCCCAGAAATTTTTATCTTATTATGTTATTAAAGAGAAATAAAATAAAATAACTTAACCCTAGAACCACAACGTGGGGTCGCCGGTGACTTGCGCCCTCAGAGTAAGTAAGTAGTAAAGAGAGGACAGTAAACAATGTTTGTGTCGCCATGATAATATGGTCGAGAATTCTAATTAGAGAGAAATAGATTAATATCTCTATCTCTTAGTTTGTATTTGTCAGTTTTACAAAGCTTTTCTCAGACAATTATTCCACTGTTTAATTTAAATTTGTTCGTGTTGTGGTGTTAAAAATAATTGTTAATAATATTATATTCATAACAAAAAAGTCATATTTTGTTTTCACTTCATTAAAAATGTATCTACCTACCTTTTAAAACTTTTTATTTTATATTCTATTTGGTCAACATTTTCGCATTTAAAATGACCCAGCGAAATTGTTTTACGGTACGCTACTGCTGAGAATTCTAAAACGAGTGAGAAAGCCTTCATTAGAAAGAGAGATACTGATTATATGATAGCGAGATTAATATTGTATAACTTTATGCAGTGGTGACCTATCTGCTGTTATATTATCTAAGCTTGCGCCTACATTTAAGCCTATACGCATGTTTGTATTTTGGACAGACGGGTGGGGGTTCAGCTATCCTCAAGTGACGATATCCTTTCTCGGTTAGTGTGTGTACGGTGTGTTCGGATCTGTTTACTTTGACACGTACCTAGTATTTGATGACTATTGCGTTTTTGACCTCACGTTGTGGTTTGTGTATGAAGTTTTTTGTTCCGGTAGTTACAACTTTTATCACTTTTTTTTATATATATTCATAATGTATGTTTAAAATACCATATACTTTGCAGGGAATATAAAATGGATGATCCTAAACGACCTTTAAATAATACGGAACTCTGGAAAATTCTATATGAAGAAGGAAGCGAAGATGAAGAAAACATGGAACGTGAAAATAAAAGTGAAGACGAAGATGTCGTTTTGGAATATGATAAAGAAGGTGAGATTCAGATATTAGAAAATAATGAATATCAAAACGTATTAGAAGAAAACACATTAGAAGAAAATACACCATCCCTTCTCTAAATAAGAAATATCCAACTATATATGGACGTAATGCATATAAGTGATATGCATATCCTTGTCAGTCAAAGTTTTCAAAAAAAAAAACAAGAAAAAATATTGTAATCCACTTACACGGACCAAAAGGTAAAGCTAGACAACATCTGAATCTAAAACAAATTTGGCAGTTATTTTTTTCCTACATTTTATCCATAATAGTAGAACATACTAATCAAGAAATAGAGCTGCGAAGAGCCTCTTATAAAACAGAACAAAGACATTTGCAAGATACAAATAAAGCAGAATTACTGGCTTTGTTTGGATTGCTGTATTATGCTGGTGTCTTAAAAGAACTGTGGTCAACAAA